AAAAAACAGCAATAAGAATATAATGTACTTGATGGAGGCTTTAGTGAGTCTTTCAGTGACTACTGACATTTGACTAGTAGCCAACTTCATGGTAAATTCACTACAAATTACTGCAGATTACTTCACCTACAAATACACTTAGAATTCAATGTACAAGATACTTACTCATAAAACTGTTCCCTGTAGGTGCTATCAAAATAATCAACATCCTCGTCATTAACTTGCCAGAATGGAATCAAACCATTTATGCCACTTGATATATTACATTCCATAACTACATGAGAGCCTACAAAAAACATGTAAATAGGGCAATTGAAGGTCTTGTAACAGAAGTAGGATCAAGTGATTGGGGAACAGCTGGGAGGAGTGTACAGGAAAACCCACTTACCTTGTGAGAAGCAGTGCCCTTAAAACTCACCCATTTGTGATCCATGCCTGCACGTCTCCAACATGGATATAAAGTCCACCCTGAAGGTAGGTGTCTACATGTAAGCTAGATGTCTAAGCTAGTAACAGAGTTCAGCTCTGCTAAGCCCACTCACACTACAGTAGACACCGTGACCTCCTCAACTGAATGGCTCTCCAGCCTCCACTGAAAGATCTCCAGGGGTCACATAGCCCCCCCACCCAAACCAGCCCTAGACAGCTATGTGCAGGTGACTGCACTGAGCCCCTGTGGATAACTGCATGAATTAGGGACCTTAGCTCATATGCAGACAACCACAGTCTGGAGCTGAATGCCATTTTCAGAGCCCATGCATATCTTTACTCCAGATCAGAGGCTTTTGGCCAACACTGTCCACTGGGATGGTTTCTGAACACTCCCATGCTCTGCTCCCAGAGCAAGCTCACCTGCCACAGCTCTTACAGAATGGCTCAGTATTTAGACACAAGTTGCAGAATAAATGTATTGCCAATGTACCTTAGAGAGCTCCATTTACAGGAAGGTAAGTGGCTTTCCTGGAGTCCTTTCCTTCTGTAGCTTACCCATGGCAGTTAGGATCTGATAGGAGAAGGTGGGCTCTCCATTTCACCTATGTAAAGATCTCAGTGTTTTGTTGCCTACAGCTACATCAGATTTAGAAGCTTCCATCAAAGGATGGTCTCTATCAAAACTATGGAATACACCTTTAGCTAACATGCAAAGCAGTTCCTTGAACAAGAGTTCACACAGAAGTCACAGATGGTCCCCAGTTTCTTTCCTCATGCCATTCCATCACAATAATCAATTTTTCTAAAGATGTGCTTCAGTGCATTGCACAGCTCTTTGAAAGGAAGAAAACCCCTCAAGTGTTCCATGCTTTCTATTTCTGTACATTCATAAATGTACTATTAAGCTTCTACACAACCTTCTCCTGCCATTTCTCATTCAAAAAGCATACAGGTGTTTCCAGATTCATGCAGGTGTTTCCAGGCTCTGCCCCACAGCCAGGCATTTAAGAGGAGCAAAGGTATTTTTATTCCAGCATCCCACTCATAGTTCTGGACAGAGAATATTACTTTTGAATGTCAGATGGCAGTGCTTTTAATTTTTTTTTTTTAATTGGAAAAAAACACCAAGAAAAAAAATCCCAAACCATAAACTTCACCAGCTTCCTTTAAAGGAACCCCCTGTAGTAGGGAATAATTTGTAGTTGTTCAGTAGCTGCAATAAACCCACTTTGTGAGTGGAGGCTTTGTGTCTCCTTTTAGTCCCAGGTGTGACTGCCTTCCTAATGTCTGTAAGGCAGTCAAGGTTTATTCATCTTAGCTGGTCTAAGGCATCTAATAAGATATCAGCAACTTCTAACTATTGTAGTGGCCAAGCCACAGCAAATATGGATCAATGCTATTCTAAAATAAGGAGTCTAAACAAATAGTCCCACAACACATCCTAATACAGGCTGGGAGTCACAGGAGGCCCCTGAACTATTGATTGCTCCATTCTCCATTTTCTCAGCAAGTACTATCAAGGATTAAGAAAATGCTGAAAGATGACTGCAGTAAATTAAAAAGCCTTTTAAGGGCCTATGCAGATCAGAGTCCTTCTGAGTAGAGGCTGCATTGGCAAGAATTTTTCTGAATTAAAGGGGAATTCATGACTAATTACCAGTCAGAACTGGGGATGAGATTTTTGTAATATCTTAATGGGTGGGAGATCCAGTACAGGGAAGCCTCACTGTAATATTACTTAATTTCTTCCACAGTTACCATTAAAAAGGGAAAGTAAATTTTTCATACATAAAGATTAGGGTTGTGTGATGTAAAAAATGACTGTGAAAAGTCTCCCTGTTTCAATCTAAGACCTGGTGAACAAATTTCCTAATTAGAACAGCACACATAAAGCTTTTCAGGCATGTAATTGTAGTGAAGCCAGAGAAGACATAATTACCAGAAAAGAAGAAGCTGCTGAGCTATTTCAGAGTATTTCCAACAGAATTAAATAACCACCTGAAGACTGCAGAACTGTAAGTTTGTGAAGTAATACTGCTTGTATCAGATCCTGGATATCCCCACTGTTTAAAGCAAAGCCTTGTGGACTTTGTAGGAACATAAATTCCATTAAAGCTCATTCATTACTCCAGTCAAAATCTACTGATCCTTACTGGCAACTTCAAAATAAGAAATTTTTCACCAACTACTGAGGTCAAAATGAAAAGAAAAACAACTACAACAAAAAATAACCCCAAACAAACACAACCTACCAGTGTTTCAGTGCTGTTCACTGCAGTTTAATACCATATATACTCAAAGTTACAACTTGGACCAGACAAAATGTTTCACATGATGCAAAAAGAAGTGTGAAGTCTCATCATGAGAGAAGAACACCTGATGGAAATAATATTTCCAAGTTCACTGTCAGAAAAAGCAGCAGCAAAAGTAGCTCTTACGTGGGACTACCATCAGTGTGACGTGTAAGAATAATCCACAATGTTCTGGCCTCAGTGCCCATGTGGTGCCAAGAGCACCAGACTATCCTCAGAGCTTTTCTGATTAACCAATTGGCAATAATCCTTCCTCAAAAGATCACAAAACAGCTTAGATCCTGTTGTTCCTAGATTTTGCTGTACTCAGAAATTCCAGCAAATAGCCAGTCACACTTCTTCAAAAACAGTTAATGCCCTTTTTAATCAAACTCTTTGAAACAGTTCCCTCTAGTGCAAAACAAGAGGAAAAAAATTACAGCTAAAGCAGCTCCAAAACTCATTTCTTCTGCACTACGTCAGTATAACACAACTCATATATGATGCAGTCTAAACACATAGAGGTTTCCTTAGGGAAAGATATTTAGCCCCTAGAATCACAGAATAATTGAGGTTGGAAGGGACTTTGAGAGGCCTCCAGTCCGATTTCCTGCTCAAAGCAGAGCCAGCTCTGAGGTTAGACCAGGCTGATCAGAGCTTTCTCCAGTCAGGTCCCTAAACCTCCAAGGACAGAGGCCACACGACTTCTCTGGGCAGCCTGCTGCACTGACTGGCTGTCCTCACTGGGAAGAAGCTATTCCTTGTATCCAGAGTCCCTTATTTAAGAAATTTCTACAATAAACAATACCTGAGGTATCCATCAAATAGCAGCTCACTGTTTCACAAAATATCAATATCTGAAACCTTTTAATATCCTAGAATGAGCAATAAAATCCAGGTTGTGGAGAGGGAAGGGAGACAGGAAATACACAGGAGGAGGAAGAAACTCCTGAACTGGTCAGCAGGTAACTATCCTAAAGTGTTATGTGCATGTAACCATATCTGCACAGACACTGAGGACATGTCAAGACAGAGACACTGAAAAGTGGTACAAAGGACAGATGGCAACAATAAAAACTAAACAACTAAATGCATCCCACCCGACACTGCGGGTCAAGAGACTCCGATCTTAAGGCACACAGTTATTCAGCCCACAAATTACTTGTGGGAATCATGTTCTACCATCTATCTTCCAGATACCCTCAATCCATATACCTATTGCCCAGTCTTGCTGAAGTCAGTGGAACTGTTCACTTGTTATTTCAGAAAGACCAGGACCTTAATTGTTTAATTTAATGTTAATGACTTCTTAAATAGTCACTGCTTACCAAGTTCTACTTCAATGGTGTTGTTCTTCGGATAAATAAACTCTGGTCTCATCTGCAGTGGTTGTTCTAACAGAAACAAAGAGAAAAATGAAATCTTCAGGCAAGAAGAGTTCCACAACTTATTTCAACTGTTTTACAGTGGGTTTGTTTTATTGTTTGGTACTATTGTAGCACCATAATTACTACCGAATATTTTTCTGTTGTGTATTTGATAGATATCTCATAGGATTCTGTAACCAAATTATTCTATTTTAGCTCCCAGTTTAATAAAAGGCTTTAGCTTACCTTAAAAATGCTTTTTAAAACAATCTCAAATTTACTGGCAGTTGATATAAAAGTAACACAAAACCAGAACACAAAAGCTAAACTAAAAAATGTGATTAAGTTTATCAGAGAGATGGATAAGGAAGAAAAAGATGGATTTCATCAACAACCTCCTAGATCAAGTTAATATCTATTTAAGTAAAAGAGTAAACAAGCACACACTTAAACTGGGCTGGAACTGTATCACTCTGCACAGTGTATGGACTCACTGCTGACAGCCCACTGGTTTTGTATCACCTATCTGAAGTCAGAATTTTGATTTAATCTACAAAGATGGACACTCTACCTCCAGCCAACTTTTCTGATAGGACTACTGCCATGGTACTGGTTGGGTCATCAGCAACACTGCCCACAAAGACACAATTACAAGGATCACAGCAATAACTGACAGCACTGGGAAAGTGAGACAGCCAGCTCTCAGTCCTCTGTGCAGAAGAGCACAACCAAGTGCCAGTGGTAAGCCAACCCCTTCCAGAGGAAGATTTATTAACTTTATGGTATTTATACAGCTTGTCACATCTCCTTTCCCATCAGTTCAGATTCTAGTGATCTTTGTAAGCAAGTTCACCAACAGGGCCACAAATATGTGTTTTGCTGTGACAGTCTCATCAAAAATGTCTCTTTTAAAAAAAATTAATTCATTTAATTAAATGGCGCATTATTTGTTTTAGCAAAAACACCCCCCACACACCCCACTAACCACTACTTCCTTCTAATTCTCATTCCTAACCCCACATTTCTCATTTGCCCATGACAATTCCTCCTCAGAAGCAATGCTCAAGGATAGCAACGTGCATTATAGTATTTTAATTTTATATTCAAGAAAAAGATGAAACAAAAGTTTTACAACTCTAATTTCAAAGAGTTGAAAAGTAACGTGCCAAATAGCTTACACCTGCATAGAAAAATTTACAGCAGAGCCAAATAGAGAAGAGAATAACCTCAGTGCACTCACCTTTAACCTCTAGACTCATGGTTCGTGAAACATTGTACTGTTTTCCCAGGTGTGTGTAAACCATCCTGCAGGTGTAGTTTCCTCTGTCTGCCACAGTGGCGTTGTGAATCAAGACACTGTTCCCACCCTCGATCAAAACGAGTCGCTTGTCTTCAAGGAATCCAGGCTTACACTCCTAAACATATAAAAAAAATAGCTGTGATTTAAGGGGACTAATAATTTGATAATTAAATAAGTTACTGGGTTTTACTGATTATTAAAATACTTGCCAAATACTGAATTTTTGGAAAGCTACAATGTGGGTTCTGATCCCAGCATCACTACGTTCTAACATGAAACCTGATGACGTCTTGCTGCCTCTGTACCCTTTAAGTTTTCAAGTGCTGTGTCCACTGCTTTCATTCAATAGCATGACAGTTACCTATCTCAGGTGTTATGAAATTTATTACTCTGCCTGTAGCAGAGCTTATGAGAACACATGCCTGTGTTCCTACATCACTGGGAGAGGAAGGAGAGCTGCTGCAGCTGTTGGGTGGGTTACCATTTCTGCAGCAAAGCAAACAGGGAAAAACTGCCTTCTCTGCCCTGACTGTAAGCAGAGTAGAATCACTTCATCTCAAAAGAAGATATATACATGCAGCATCAAGGTTATTTTACATGTACAGGTCCATGTAGCTACTTTAGTATCACCATCAGAATTAAGAGTTAATTACTTTAGCATTTTACCTTTTACATGGACAAAATACATGTTTCCAAGCTTGTACAGTCTACAGACTGTTTTGGCAGAATCAGAGAAAAGAGGCCTAGGAATAACACACCACGATCAACAGATAGGAGAGGCTGAATATTTAGTGAAACTAAAATAATTATGCAGAGCCTCATACTTAAGGAAACACACAGGTTTTAAAACTTATTATCTAGATAAAATAATCAAAGGATAGGTTAGATTTTCACAAACCAAAACACATTTTGACTCTGAAAAAACTTGCAATCCAAAAATGGACAACTGTTCTTCTAAAATATGCCTCCCCTGCACCTCCCCAGTAGTACAGCAAGACAGACACACTGCAGAGAAAGGCTGTTTTCCACAGTTACATCATAACACATTTTAAATAGATTGTTTCATATCTGGTATAAATTAAACACACATGCACAATACCTTATACCAATGTATTTCAGGCCAATTATTGTCTTCATCTTTAAAATGTTCTAGATCAGGGCATATAATCTTTCCAGTATTTGGGCTCATCACTTTTTGTTGGAACTTCATTTTTCCATTAAAACACAAATCGTTATCATTCTTAAAAACTGTTAAATGCACAGTTTTTTTATTAGAGTGGTTAAGGCTCCTGTAATTAGAACAGCAGACAAATCAGGTCATTAACAATAAGGTTCCTTGTTTCCAGCAAGTCAGGGAGTTTATGGAGAGGGACTTGAGCATCTCCACCAGCCTCACCTCTAGCACTGCTGCCACAGCCCCTCCCCACCTTGCTCTTACACATCACCCTCGGCTCCTCAGCCCCCATTCCAGACCAAGAGATGGGAATAATCTCTGATTTTGTGTTGTGAGCAGAAATGAGGGCTGCTCTAGAAGCACCAGAGGGGATGCCAGGACTCCTCAGAGCTGACACTCTATGGAGCCCCCAGCACCAGCCCAGCCTTGCCATTTTCAGCATTATGTTTGCCAGCATAGTAGCGCAGAGTAACCCAAAACATGTCTGCACTGGAACACCCTCAGTGCCAAATGAACAGGAGAAGAGAGATTCATCTCAGTGCTCCTTGGAGGGACAAAGCAAGAAAAACAGGCTGTAACTCCCAGCAGAAGAGAGACAGAGCTCTTGAATAACATAAACATCAATGTGCAACACCAGTGTGAAACCACTTCACACCAAGAGCTCACAGGAACCTGTGGTTCAGTAGCTCAGCAGAGCAGAGGTGGCACTAGAAATCAGAAGCTTATGCTACAAGTAAAGGAATACTCTGCACTAATTCATTTCTCAACACTATGCTAAGGGAGGAAGTTTCCAGAGTAAACTGCATGTTTTGACAGTCCTGGCTTGAACTTCTATATAATGCACCCTGACAAGCTCTGTGATTAAGTGACTGATGCCCAGAATGGAGCTTACAGTTAACACAACTGAACTTTAGAAAGTTTTTTGTCCTGCAGACATAATGCAGGCCAGGGATGTGAGGTGCCCATGGGAACATGTCTCAGAGCTAGCAAAACTAGAAATACAGCAGGAAAGACTAAATTAAAATTATTTAACTGGGTAGCTTTGAAAGGATTATGTTGCTTCTGTCTTCCAGTTTCAGCCTCATCAACTCTGGAGCAGGAAGGTGCAAAGGCCTGAGACCTGTTTCTATGCTGGAAATTTTAGCTGATCATGGTTATTACATTCACAACCCAAATCCCTTCAGCATAGCTGATGCACTCTATGCACACTAGTACACAGAACTACACACTACTAAAAAAAGCCTGTGCTGGCTGCTCCAGTGTGCTGGGGCAAGACCATGAGCAAAAGAAAAAATTCTGTGTGCCTCCCCAAAATGAAATTCCTGTTCAGCACACAGTAAATTTCAGCCATTATAAATAAGATCTGACCACCTGAAGTGATGTCCCGGGCACTCATCTGAGCTGTAAATATAGCAAGAGCTTTAGAACACCCAAGGGGTGAAAAGAGCCTGTTCCTTTCATCTCTGTGCACTCAGAACTGTTGAGCAGTACTGGGGATGCATCACTTCCACTGTCTCTACAGCTGCTAGAACATTGCTTTGCTCTTCACATGTGTTCCCATTTTTAACCAGTAACATTTGGTAATGTTTCAAAATAAAAGGTAAGAATCATCTGCCTGTTAATTTGTAAATTTCTAAAAGGATTCCCAAAAAGTTGCTAAGCTCTCCAGAAAGTCTGCATGTGGTGATACTGAGTAACATGCAAAATTTGCTCCTCTTAGATCCTTCTTCCATTTAATTATGTCCAATGAAGAAATGAAAATGTTCTTCTGATCTGTCAGTATCAAACAGCAATTTGAACACAGGAAATACTGAAACAATTAAGACTTTTCCCTGCAGTCTTACACTTCCTCCAAAACAACCCACGCAGGCCATTGTTAATATTATTATGCTTTAAGATAAAGAGTCTTCTGTATGAATCACTTTTGCAATGCTACCCATGTGGAATAAAAAAAAAGCAGCTCACAGAAACAAAGCATGGTCAAATCAGTGCTTTGAACTGATCTAAACTCTCTACCTAAACAAAAAAAATAATCTGTACGCTCAAATTCCACAAATGTATCATCACACTTGGAAGCATCAGCAGCCCAGTTGTTCCTGTCCTCCCTTCCTTACCTTACAGCACATTCATAAGGTCCTGAATCTTCCAGTGTTGCAGGAATAATCCAGAGCAAGTCCTCTCGCTGGTGGATCCTGGCATGCCTCTCTGTGCTCACTGCTGTGGCACTACCATTTTTGTACCACGTCAGATTGTAATCAGAGTGAAGCTCTGGCAGTGTAGCCAGTGGGCAGCTAACAGCTATAGGCTCTCCAAGAAGCACAAAGTAATCACAAATAACACAATCTTCTATTAAAAAAAAAAAAAAGATAAAATTATTAATGGTTTTAATCTGTATACTTCATGTTTTAGAAGCAGTGATATCCATTTTAAGTTACACAGAACTAGAAAATAAACTTTCTGTAACAATTTATCATTGAAACATCACAAAGTTGCCATTTTTTGTTTGTTTAGCACCTTCTGGTTGAAGATCTAAACCATATATTTTACAAAGCTTAAGCCACAACTCCCCTCTATTGAGGTGGCCAGAAAGAAGCACAGGTCAGACAGGCTCAGTGCAAACCAGGGTATGAGAAGACACATGGGATTCACCAGGCAACACAACACAGCAGTTGTGAAGCTTATTTGACTATGTTAGTACTTTTGCAGGATTGCCAGACTCTTAATCTAGATAATACCTATGAAAAGCACTGTGCAAGCAGTAGCAGTTCAGAGCTCCTCACAGACTCTGGCCACTATGAGTGTGGGGCCAAAAACAAGTCAGGGAAAGGAAAAAAAAAGAGGGGGAGGAAGAGAAAGAAGATGGGTTTGACATGGAGCACAAGATAGTATGGAATGAGACCAAGAGCTCAACACATCCAAGAAGTCTATGAACCAACACGTCATAATACAAAGGAAATTTGGAGAGGCTAAGAACTGATCATAATCAGTATTGAGATTAAGAAATCTTGACACTAATGTAATATCGCTCACTGTATTTGCAATTTCTGTCATATTTAACCAGAAGGCCTTTTAAATTATGCCTTTTATTCTGAACATCACATAAAAGGTGAGCATAAACAGAATTTTTAGAATTATAGCTGTGTAACAAGTTGACAAGACAACTGTGCAGCTTAGCAAGCAGTTCTATAAACATCAGCCAAAAAAATGCTGGAGAAAGGACAGATTCTGCAAGAAGTCATCAAGAACCCACATCTGCCAGAGAAAACTCCTTGGAGAACACCAGTTCAGCACAAACAGAGCAGGCCACCTGGCTATAAAGCAGATTTTAAAAGCTTCCAAACTTCTGCATACACAAGCAACCCTGAATTCCTATGAAACTGCAAAACATTCGACTGAACCAACTTCACAGATCTTCCTGAATGACTGTATAAACACAAAGCTAATGTATTTAAGTGCAAAATGAAAAAATCTTCAGTAATCTTTCCAGTCCCACCGCCCTCCTATCACCTAATTTAAAGATTTCCAAGTAGGTCTCTGTGGGGCTTAAACTAATTCAGAGACATTGATATTAGACTGTTTCTGTCAAGAGCAGCACGACAAACATCATTAATTCATGTAAACCTAAACTGTACTGAGAAATTAGATCTACTATTAAAAACATTACTAACTAATTGTAAAGGAAACTGAGCCCTACTGCTTTCAGGACTAGAGCTACAGCATGTCTCTTAAAGAAGGCATCCAACAGGTAGCTTTAATGAAGATAATCTCTCCACACTTTCTTTATAGGATGAGGCAAATCAAAGCCTCAGTACCCTAAATTTCTGTGGCTAGATTTAAAAATAAATATTTCAATTTGTCCACTCCATCCCCAGTGCAACTTCAATCCAAGAAGAAGTACTGAGTGTATCTTCAACATGCTGAAGCAAAACTAAACCCCAAATCCACTATTTGCTCTCGGCAACTCCTTCCTGATAAATACAAATAGCTCAACTCTTGCAGGTTTTCTTTTTTGAAATAGTAATTTCAGCAACATATTTAACTTACCAGCACTGAACAGAGGTATCAGTAGAATGAGACAACCAATGAGCAAAAATGTAGATGTCATCTTTTGCTGCAAAGAAGAATTTTTTTCCATTAACGTGGTAAGAGTGTTCAAGCTGCACTGTCCTCTGCACTCTGCACTACTCCTTAAAAAAGTCAGAAGCATTAGTCATCTTGGGGAGGGAAAAATGGGTTGGGTAATTTAGCCCCAGCCTTTGAAGTTTTCAGCTGCAACAACTGTTGGCCTCCACAGAAGGCTGCTCTATTTTCAACTTTTTACTGAAATTTTTCCAAATTTCTACTAGAATAACTCTTGCACAAAGTGTAATTTTCTTTTGCCAGCATAATTAAGAAAAAAAAAAAACATCACCCAAACAAACAAAAAACCCAGCCCTCTAACAGAGGCAAGATATGCTAGCATACAGTGATTGAGGTTATGCTGTGCAATTCAGAAACCAAGCCCGATTAAGCTGCTCCTCTTTCCATGAGTTCCTGAGATGCAGTCAGACAGATGTATGAGGTTTCACCCTTTGTTCTGGCACAGCTGAGGCAGCACTGCTTTCAAGAGCAGATGAATTCCTAGTTCTCTGCAGGAGGACACACTGTAACTCCAGTGTGATCTGACACAGACTGGTGTGTAAAGTCAGACCTGTGGGAACCGCAGCCGCCATGACTTGCTGTGGTCAGACACAAAGCAAAGGGTTCAAGAGCTGTAGTTTCACTCCACACCTCAGGTCATCTTTGCAACTTTCTCCAACAGAGAGATGACTGAATAGACACCCACCGCCCTCATGGCCCTCAAGTGGCTTCCATGAAACCTCTAAATCTCAACCAAGTCCTCCTCCCCTCTCAGGCGAGCCTGCTTTTTCTCAGAAATATGTCATCAGGGCCCTCCCCAAGCCTTCTACTGCCATCCAGCTGGCAAACACTTACTGCTTCTCCCTTCTGACTGCTCCTTCTAGGTTGGAGTCTGTATTTTGCTGTCTTGCCTTTCCTCAGTTCCTGCAGCTGCCTCTCACTCTAAAGCAAGCTGGTTTCCCACACAGCAGCCCACTGCAAAACATTCATTGCACAGGTCCTAGTTAATATTAGTCTTCTACCCTGCTAGGAATGGCTAGAAGAAGAGATTGTATTCCCTGAAAAACACAAGTGGCCTTGACTTACTTTTGTATCCATGTTAGTTCACTTCAGTGACAAATAAGCCACATCAGCTCCTGCTTTTGAAACATTTCATCCACAAACGTGTTGGGGTAATAGGGAGGGACACACAGAGCTGAGTTCAACACTTTAACAGCCTCCAACTATGTGCTTCTTTTGGACAGCTTATCTGACAAAACATGCATACCATAGTCTTTATTTAGTTGTCTGGTATGTGGTTTTCCTGTAACTTGCCAATGAGCTGATCATCATTCCTGGAGTTGCAGCTTAGCTGTAAAGAGACAGGGGAAAAATGGGATTTTACAAAACACATTTGGAGAGCAGCATGCATACACAAAAACAAATTTTCTAAAGACATCCTAAAGGTAAGAGCAAGAGCATCCCCCTGCCTGCACTACAGGGAAGACTTCAACCAAAAGAGCAACAACAAAACTTTCAGTAAAGATTTACCAAGAATTCTAGCAAAGACCTTTGGAAAATGAAGTCTCTCTCAAAACCAAGATAACATTACACAGGTCTGAAGAAAGCAACAAAACCAGACATACAGACACTTTGTAAGACAGATTTAACCACTAAAAGGAAATTAATACTTCAATTTAGGGCAACATAAGAACACCTAAGCAATCTAACAGATTAAGCTTTACGTTTTGCACTCATTACTGCTCCCCAGTAGCAAGAGTGGATATCTTTCTAATATTGCATGCTAAAGCTCAACATTTTTAAAGTTCTATTCTTTCAAAATTCACACACACCCCCTTCAAATATTGCAGTGGTAGAGCTTAAAAACTCTGGAAACAAGAAGCAGCCTCTAGCTTTTGCAGTTGCAATACCTCACAGTATATGGAGCATTTCTATGCTGGTCAGTAGGGTTTCAACTAACTACACAAGGTTTTTACACATTTTCTTAAGCAGAACATACAGAGGAACAATCCCAAAAATCATGAATGTGAAACAGTAAACTTTTTTTTAAGAAGCAGATGTTTATTCAACACACTTTATTCAACACACTTAACAACTTTAGCCTTGTAGTGCCTTCTATCCCAGTCTCAGGAATGAGATGCCCCATGATATAAGCACAGGAGCTCAAAAATCTCCCTCATGTAGAGTGAATGGCAATTCACTGATGACATTGCCTGTACACTTAGTTTGGAAAACTGCTTCTGCTCAAAGCTTGCTGGGCTTAAAGAAAAAAAATATATATGAAGTCTTTTAAGAAACAAGAAAAAAAAAAACAAAAACAAAAACAACAAAGCACCAAACCATAAGAAATAAAATCCCACACAATCACATTTGTGGTTTGAGCTACTGAAAACAAAAAAAGGGCTGATTTACAAGTTACTTTCCTAATATTTATCTTCCCATAGTTAAAATACAACTTACTACTGCTCCTTTGAATATCTAAAATTACCATCTTGAAAACAAAAATAGAAAACATGGACCTAATTTAAGATACTGACATTTAGTTCTTTGCAGGATGCCTGTCTTCACAGAACTTGCCCTCTTCCTTGCTGTAGGCACACTGCCCACTTTAAATGCTATAAGAAAGGATTTACAGACATATTGGGTCCCTAAGTCTGGGGACTTAGCAAACTTGTCCTCAGAAAGCTGTGCAAAACACAACCATATCTTTGTTTTCCAAATTTTCTGCCTCTGTTTTTTAAACCATAGGCCAATACAATCAAAAACCACTCAAGAGAGCAGCACAGAAAGGATCTTAGCACCTCAGCTGCATGTCACCACTCCAATGTTACTTTAAGTGGCTTTCAGTATTGATCACTATGGGGCCCTGGTCCCACAGGACATCTGTGTCCCCAAATAGGAGAGGCATGGATGTGATGGATGGATAAGGAACTGGCTGGATGGTCACACTCAAAGAGTTGCAGTCAACAGCTCAATGTCTGAGTGGAGACCAGTGACGAGTGGCAGTCCTCAGGGACTGGGACTGGTGCTGTTCAGCATCTTCCTTGGTGGCACAGACAGTGGGATTGAGAGCTTCCTTAGCAGGTCTGCAGGTGACACCAAGCTGTGTGGTGGACACGCTGGAGGGAAGGGAGGCCATCCAGAGGGACCTGGACAGGCTGGAGGGATGGGCCCACGGCAACCTCATGAAGTTCAGCAAGGCCAAGTGTAAGGTCCTGCACCTGGGTCTAGAGAATCCCCAGCACAAATGCAGGCTGGGTGGATTTGGAGTAGTCCTGCAGAGGAGGACTTGGGGGTACTGGTGGATGAAAAAAATGAATATGATCTGGCAATATTTGCTCACAGCCCAGAAAGTAACACATCCTGGGCAAAAGAAGCATGGCCAGCAGGTCAAGGGAGGTGATTCTCCCCCTCAGCTCTGCTCTTGTGAGACCCTACCTGGAGCACTGTGTTCAGCTCTGGGACCTCCAGCATAAGAAAGACATGGACCTGTTGGAGTGGGTCCAAAGGAGGGCCTCAAAGATGATCAGGGCAGTGAAGCACCTCCCCTGTGAGGACAGGCTGAGAGAGCTGGGGTGGTTCAGCCTGGAGAAGAGAAGGGAGACCTTGTAGCAGCCTGAGAGTATCTGAAAGGACCCTACAGGAAAGATGGGGAGGGACTCTTTATCAGGGAGTGTAGTGATAGGAGAAGGGGTAACCATTTTAAACTGAAAGAGGGTAGATTTACATTAGCTATTAGGAAGGAATTCTGTACTCTGAGGGTGGCTAGAAGCTGTAACAAGTCACCTGGAGAAGTTGTGGATGTCCCCTCCCTGGAAGTGTCCAAGGCCAGGTTGGATGGGGCTTTGAGCAACCTGATCTAGTGGAAGGTGTCCCTGCCCATGGGCGGGGTACTGGACTAGATGATCTTTAAGGTCCCTTCCAACCCAAACCACTCCATGATTCTATGACTCATTACAGCAAGGGCAACCTTAGCCACACAGAAGATCACAGAAATCACGGTTCAAAGGTAACTCATTATCATCTTTGCAAATAAAATAAAGGAATAGAGGTGTAAAGTGCCCCAATTTAGCAGCATACCTACCTGAAAGAAGTGCATTAACTTTTTAAGCAAAACTTTAACACAGTTTAATTGAAATGGGAGGGGAGGAGCATGTGGAGAATCAAACCCATGTATGGCCACTTGCTCCAAAGTACAACCACCAAGGCAAGATTCAACCCACCACAATTCATAGAGCTCACACCTTGTTCCTCAACATGCTTACTGCTGTCAGCAGCAGTAAGCTGTTAAGCTGCCCACTGGGGTTAAACCACAACAGTAAAGCAAGATGAAGTTTCTAACAGATTATACCTTGTTTCAAATCTGCCACTTTCCTGAGGTCCCAACTTTCCTGTCTCCCATGCTCAATGTATAAACAAAATGCATCTGTTCCCTTTACAGGGACATGCAAGAACACCGAGTCACACAAAACAATTCACAGGCATCCTCTAGAAGTAGATCTGGTTATCCACTGTGGTATTCTGACACTGAACTGATGACCACAACCTTTAGTACCCAAATGCCTCCTTTCCAGACAATCCTACAAGCTGCAGGACTAAAAAAAGTCACAACTTTATGGAAAACCCATTATCCAAGACATTCTGTTGAAGCTACATCAAAATGAACAGAAATAAAAGAATAATATTCACAAAGAAGTCTGGAGTAGTTAAATCTTTATAAGCTAAATTCCAGTTCAGTTTTGAGACAAAGTATTAACTGCTCTAAACCTGAATCTGAGCAAAGTGTCTGTTACAGGTATTGCCTCAGCTTTCACCAAAGCACAGGAAGACAGGGGAAAAAAAGATTAATCTCTGTAGCTCTACACAACAGGCCCCTACCAGCTGGTTCTAGTACAGTGAAGAGCCACCTATTCACCCATTTCCACCTCATGCCAAACTGAAGGCAATGAGAGCAGCCAAACTACCTTGAAAGGAGCAATCTTACCAGTATTGAAATCAGCTGAGAACAGTACCTCC